TGCCAAGTATTAATTATTGTTAGATGATTGGTCTAAAACATTCAATACAACCAGTAAAAATTAACTGTCGTCTACGAGATTCGAACCCCTGCTCGCAACAAAAAGGATATATATATATGAAGCTCTGACTTGGCGTCTCAATCAACCGAGCTATCTCGATGCTCATTCATGGTTTGAGAAAAGATAACAGTTAAGTGATCTCGGACGCTGAGCGGGGCTTCACAAAAGACGACCTTGACATCCGGCCACTGCTGTTAAGAGACAGCGGATTAAGTGCATTTCTCTGTGAGACATTGTTTGCCTATGCTTTCATGTGTCACAAGGTTCATCTCAGGTTGCATTTGCTATCGCGGCAGTAAACTGAGGCAATATTTCTGTATTCATGGATTAAATCCATCAATCGAGTTCTGATTTTGGCTCATATATCCGTAACGGGTCCTTCAGAACAATTTTCCGCCTTGTACGATGGTTATTATTTCTTTATATCTGTGTTTAAAATTTGAGGTGGGATAATGGCGGCTTCTCAAGAGCAACGAGGTAGGCGATCTTTTGCACCAACGAACAGAAAACTGATGGCGAAAAATAGCCAATGAAAACCTCCCAAAAAAAAGAATTTGCCTAAAAACGGAACTTCGTGGTTCTGCGCAGGTTTACCAGTCAGATACGACATCTCAAGGTGGAAAAAAACTCGCTGAAAGCGAATTTTAGAAATCAACACAACTTGACGTAGAGACATGATTGGCTAAAAAATACAACGGTTTTTGATACATCGGAAAATCAACCAAAAATCGGAGACTGGGCGAAACGCTCAAGGTCGCAGAGGTATAGGGAATCCCATAGCGAAAGCAACGGAACGATTGTAATATCATGGGGAACTCCGTTCCCATGACAAAACATCAATAACTTTATCATGTTTCCTTGATACACAAAGATACGATAACGGAGCGATAATATGCTGCGCGGTGGGGGCCAGAGCCCCACAAAAAATCTGTAGGCACGCTGTTAGCACTCTCAAGTTCAAGAAATCCTTCACAAATCCTCGGATCAATTATAATAACCTAAAAAATCGTGGATACCGGTGCACTTTGAAGCTTACGTTTCCCAATTTTGAGAATAATAACTGAGATTGGCTCCGTAGAGGAGAAGCAAATTGTACAATTTTCATTTTAATTTCAAGCAAGAGATGTTTCGGGTTCTGAGTATCGTTGGATATGTAATATGTATGTTCTAATGTATATCGTTGCAATTCAGAAAAAAAAGCTAAGCCCGCAGTGGGATGTATCCCTTTACTGCATCAAAAAAGGTGCAATATCCTTGCGTTACACAACGACAAAGCAATATTATAACGAAAAGATTTACGTAACATTTTATCGCCAAAATTTTTGCGTTACAACTCCTCAGCCCAGGATTAGAAACCCACTAAGCAATACGCGACCGAGAATGACTGCATGCTTTCAGAGAGGAAATGTGAATCAGGGACTTTGGTATACTATGATTTTACACAGGATTTTCTCCTGCGCACGGACTTTACTTGCATGAACGCGTTCGATTGCAAGCAGTGTTCAAAACTCGCAGGCGCCAACGCGCCAAATGCGCAACGTTTCATTGAATGCGCCGTGATTTTTAGGCAAAAAGTCAATTTGGCCCCTAAAAAATCTTCAATGGCCATTAAAAATTGAGCTTGATGAGCCACACGGCTCCTGAAACTCAAAGATGAGTTTCGAACACTGATTGCAAGTCAAATTCCATTGTTATCCTTTCTTCTTGTGACCAGAGGGACTTCAGCACTTAAACATATGTAAATATAGAGATAATAATAAGAAGAATTAATTTAATAATATATACATTAGTTAGAATTTCATTTCTTCTTTTTCTTTCTTTTTTTTGGGGGGGGGGCTATTTTCTTTTAGTGTAACCAAAAAAAAAAAAAAAATTAAATATAATCCGAATTACTGAATCTTTACAATGAGGATACATTTTCCCTCTTAAATTATGGTAAAAACTGGAGCAGACAGTTGGGGAGTGATGACACGCAGTCCTACAGCATTATTCTCCAGTCTTGTAGGCGCTAACATGCGTTTCGCGCCAACTGACCGACTGCACTGCGTTTGGCGCAATGCGAGAAGTATTCACGCAGTCTTGTAGGCGCTGATAAGGGCTGTGCGCCGACCGACCGTGCTGTTTGGCGCAATGCGTGAAGTATTCCTCGAGTCTTGCAGGCGGTAATATTCGCTTAACGCCGACCGCACCGTGTTTGGCGCGATTATTCTAACTATTTAGACTTAATTAACTAGTAGAACTAGTCAGGCTTAAAAAGTTGGCATTCATTTAATAATATTTACTAATAAATCACTGATAGCGTTCGTGCGTTCACAACAAGTGAAGATGTGTTTGAAGATAAATTTCATCGATATTGTGCTTTCATTAATTAAAAAAATTGAAATGAAATTTTCAGAATATGCAATAACAGAGAGAGTTTCAAGAAATGAAAATTGCGGATTTCAAAAGTTCTTAAAGCTTCAACAGAGATTACGAACACTATTTTGGGTCCCCTCATTCGTAAAGGGCCGTTCATGAATTCACGATACCTACGTAGTTGGGACCTTAGTGTAGCGTTATGGGTGCATTAGGTACGATGGAGGAGGATTATGCCAGCGTACAATCTCGATCGAATTGGGCGCAGAAATAGAGGGGTTCCCCCTCCCCCGTGCCCGTCCTCGACAGATGGTAGTCTCCCCTCCACAGATAAGTTTTGACTCTATGTAACAGCTAAATACCTGCTGACTCCCGTGAGGAATAATAAGCCATCACCCACGCACAGGAAAATTCTTTCTGCGCCCATGCCGATCAAAATCTAAAAATTTCCGTACTATTATGATTTAAAATTCCTTTGGTCAACATGCTGTCAAACAAGAGGAGATGAGAGACCAGCATTGCGTACGTAACTTATTAGCGTAGATAGACGGTAGAGTTTGCAAAGTGGTTAGACGGTAGAGTTTGCAAATTCATGAACAGGAAGGACGAAATCGGGAGACTACGTTGAAGGATCCAAAAGCAACGGACATTGTTGAATCTGTTCAACTGACACGAGATTGAGTTGGTATGAGGGGTCAGAGAGGATTCTGAAAGAGGGCCTCCGAGATATTTAAAAACTTCGAGACTATCAGATAACATGACATTTTTAATGCTCATTACTCAGCACTATCTGTCTCTTTGTTTATCAAACAGTAGCAAGCCATTCGTTTCT